AAGATCATATGTTAGTTGTAAAGACAAATTTTCAGAGGGGTTGCACCTTTCGTGCAACAGCAGCAAAGAGGGCCAACACAAAAAAATGCACCCAAATCTCTGCATAGGAACTCGGCCAGATTAAGTGAGGTAATGTGCAAACAACAGACTCCACAGGCCATATCCCTGGCAAACAACTGTATCAAGGCTTGCTGCTGAGCTGCTTGCCTGCACTGAGCTGGCTGGGTTGGGTTTGTTGTAGCTAGACTACTTTCCATGAGCACTACTTCACACCAAGGCAAACACTGTACTTTCCGCATTTAGACAGCAAGATGTAGAACACAAATAAACATAGGACACCCAGTTTCAAATTAAGTGAATTACAAGGGAAGTTACAAAATCCACGTTAGCACAATTTTGAAAAGCTGAACTAATTATGGATAAGTCTTGAAAAGTTTTCTAGGAAAACTAATGCAAGATGGATATCACTAATTCTTAATCAGAAAACAGTAAAAACGGGGCAACACTCACCATTAAGTCCATATTTTTCTTGGTTTCTTTTAACTTGGTCGACTGAAAGACCCCTTTCACTATCGCAGTTGAAGTAGTTTAGGACTTCGTCCACAGTTTTCGTATGGGCGTCATCCATGGTTGCGGTTCTGGCTCTGTCAGTGTTTCATCAACGGAACACCAACCAACCAAGACCTAGGGAAAAGAGAATTTGTTTTAGCACACTGAAATACAAAGGAATCACAGATAATTTTAACAGAATTGGTGAACAAATAAAAAATACTACTTTGAATTTGCAAATGCAAATACTGTTTAAATTACAATACAGATCCCTATCATTCATTTACTAAACAGATGACTCTCAGGGTGGAACTGGAAGAACACCCAGATACTTTGCATCACACACATACGGAAATTCATGCGTGACAACAACGTAAAGTGTTCTTATAACATGAGGTGATAGCTAACAACTAACAACTCCAACAAAACAAGCCTGATGAAGTTACGAACAGACAGAGAAGTGTACACTGCCACTAGAGCAAATATAAATCCAGTTTAGTAACCTGATTGAGCAGTAACAGTTCGACAGCAGGTCAGACTCTTCTGACTGAGGAGAATCGAAAGAGGTTAGGGTTAACTATATTTTCCATCAGAAGTCTCTCATTAGCTTGGCAGGCTCCCAGTCTCAGCTGTCTCGGTCGGACACGCACGAGGAGTACTTCAAATCATTCTAGACCGTTTCCAGATCGTCGCGTTTCAAATGTAACGGACCTACAAGACGTCACTGATGACTGTGCTAGAGCAGCTTCCAAACGAAATGTGCTCACGAAGGTTATAAACTCACCGTTAATACGGGCGATACAAAAATCCACCCGCCTCCGCTAGAGCACAGTAACTAGACCCCACTGCGGACGCAAACTCAGTCTATTCAATACACTAAACTATCATAAACTGCACATTTTCCAAGTAGACCAGCGCGCAAAGACGAACGTCATCTTCTATCCATCCACTGCTCCCTTGACTCGACTCGAAACGACTGAAGGCACTGCCAGCGGCCTAGCAGTGGCGAAGGCCCGAACCGTCGGCCACAACGCTAAACTGGACGCGACTTGGGCTGGTTGCGTCCGGACGAAACGCCTACCTAGGCCCCTTTCATAGAGTAAAGACAACAGAAAAATAATAAGTTGCGCACCTCTCTGACAGGCCGTCGACAGCTCCGTACACTTACAGACTAAAGTCCCGGTTTTAAGGTTATCCCCCGCCCCGGCGGCCCGGTCCCCTAGAAGGCGGTGGCGGCCAGGAGCGGCGGATGATTATGATTACGGCATGTGGAGTCTCCTGATTGGCCGGAGCCCGGCTGACGTCACGCTCAGCTGTCGCGGGCCGGCCGCGGCGCGCCAACGGTTTGAACGTGGCCGCGGGACGGGCCGCCGGCTCGGCGGCGACGACCGGAGCCCGCTGGAGCTCTCGTGTCACGCGTCGCGGGCCTCCCGCCTAGGGGCCGCCGTCCGAAAGCCTCTCGCCAGCCTCGTCTTTATTCCCACTACTACTCCCACTTGGAGGCGTGCATCGCCCCGCTATAAATACCGCCAGGCGACAAGCTTGGGCCGCGGCGCCGATCGAAAATAAATCCGTCTCATCCGTGGGCCGCGCGAGCAGAGCCCGCCGCCCGGGAGGGACAGGGCCTTCTTCACCTTCACCGGCTGGGGTCGGACACGCCACCTCCAGGGCGGCGAACCGCGGTGGCGGCGCCGGCGCGGGGCACTCCACAGGCACTTCCCTCCAGATACGGAGTCCTTCCGACCTGGCCCGGCCTGATCCGAACACGCGCACACGCACAAGGTACCACGGCACCACCCAGCCCCAAACACCACCACAAGCACCACTGTTATTGCACTGTAATCCGTTTAGCGGCGACACAGGAGAAGAAGGATGCGATGAGATGGAAGGCTACACACCAGCGAGAGAGAGAGGGAGAGAGCGAGCGGAGAGCAGCCGGGAGCAAACGCTGCCTGCCTGCGCCTCGACCCCCACTGCCTCGGTGAGCCTGCTCGGGCTGCGCTGGCGCTGGCGTGGGGCCCCCGATCACCGACTTGGCTCGGCTCAGCTGGCGCTGTCCGCGGCGGGGAGAGGGGGAGGGGGGCGCCTGGGCCCGCGAGGCCCGCGAGCG